GGATGATTCCATTCTCCCTTGGTATATAACCTACCCACAGACGGCGCCAATTGTTAGAGAATTATCAGCCAACTTATGTGACATGCAATTGTCGATATAATCTACTATCAAGATAATTAACTGTTGAGACCACAAATGTCAAGACAATCAACTCACATAACCATGCAAACCCTAACTACGTTTCTTTGATGAACAACAATAAAATAACATAATAATGAACACAGGGATTAACGTGGTTCGTCCAAGAACAATGTCTACATCCACCAGGAAATGGGAGCCTGCTTTTATTAATCAAACACCAACAATTACAGAGAATCATGAGTAGAAAAGATTTATTCGGCACTATCTTCTCTCTAGTGAATCTCTATTTTGTTTCTCATGCTTTTATATTCTCAATCCGACAATTGTTTCTCTTGTGATGCGTCTCTCTCTTTCTTTATTTTTTTTCTTTCTTCCTTACTTCCCTAATTCATTTGTCCTAGATCTCCTTTTTATAAGAAAGGGAATCTCCTACTTAGGCCATCAGAAAGACTCCTTTGACAAGGCAGTTGTCTTTCATGACTCTTTCCATGACTCCTAGATATATAAAGATATTAATGATTACGAATTAAGTATTGCTGACTTGGAAGAAACCTCAACAACACTATCATAGATAAATTAAGGATTCTTCTTTGTTTGAGAATGGATGACATCAATTTATTGATGATGATTACTATGTGGTTGTAATGAGGAAAACACTATGTGTATTGATCTATGGTTGGAGAAGTGCTACGACAGCCATATGAAGGTTACAAACCTATATTCGAAGGACTTGTTTGGTTGCTAAAATAAGATTAGTCAAAATAAGATTAAACAATCTAATGAAAACTCAATTATTTTAACAGACCCCGAGACGTCCAATAAAAAAGTCCCTCAAAGGGATAAGCCGCGATAACATAATATGTGCATGTCTCATTTATGATTTCTCAATTGAGAAAATGTCCCTATCGATTGTGGTTTATACTTATGTTTCAGGAGAAGACGATAAAAAAATGCCTAAAGAGGAAGCAATTTGCATGGTTTGTTTCAACAAGTTCATGCTGGAGGATGTGCTCACTACCAAATGCAAATGTAAATTTGCATTAATACATGAAGCTTGCTCCAAAAATAAAGGGAAAAATTGTCATATTTGTGAGCAAGAGATCGAATACGTACCTGTAACTCTATTATCAGAGGGACAGTTTCCTCCCGCAACACCAAAGTTTGATGAGACAAGTTCTACTGCTACAAGGTATGATTACGAAAGTGGCTATCGACTCGTGCACTTTTTTATTTATTAAAACATGTTAAAATATTATCAATTATGCCGTGTTGAATGACCACCTATTCGAACTCAGGACGTACATTTAATTTAGAATAACTCTAATACAATGTTGAATGACCACTCAACCAAAAAGTTAAGATGTTAGTGAGATTTATCATTTAATATTTATATCTAGCTTAAACAAATAGTTTTGGTTCTTCAAAACTTAAAGGAAATTAAATTACAAAATAAAATACATACTGGAGAAAAAAGAGAGACTACGTCGCTTCGAGATTTTCAAGATCACCTACTTTAACTTGACAAAGGAAAATATTATTGTTAGTGCGATCCTACTTTATTACATAATGGTTTTTCATTTTAATTTTCAAAACATCTGAACAATTTATTTTAAAATTAATGCTTATACACACTAGGTAGCAATATTTAATTTTGTATTTTCTTGCTAGTAAGTTTTTTATGTTATCACCAATTTCATTTTATTATTATATTGAATCAATGAAAAAGTACTTATATTGACAACATTGTGACAAAAATATTATCATTGAATTTGATTAGTCATAACATTATAATATAATTCTGATTAAAGATATATTCAACCACTAGAAAGGTTATTTGCTTAAAACTTGAAGTGACGTGCTAATGTAATACTCCTAACCCATACGATTTGTCCTTTTGGAGACTTTTTTAGTCATGAGTTATTTGTCCTTTTAAAATTCGAATAAAAGAGTAATTGCATTATTTTCAATTTTATGCATTATCACTCATAAATAGTTAATTAAGAAATAACTAATAACTGGGGTATTATAATATTTATTATATTGTTTTGCTATAATCCATGTGTATTATTGAGTGTCTGAATATATGTACAACCACCCAAAACGATATATAATATAGGACGGAGAGAGTAATGATTATCTATAGTAGGAAAAATAAATACCATTATTGTCAGAATTAAACTTGTGGGAATATTTGTTACGACTATTAAAAGTGAAAGTTGTTTCCGAGTAACACATCTTTGTATGCAGGTGTTGGCGCATGGTATCATTTAAACTTTTGGGAAGAAAGAAATAAACAAGATCAATTGTAAATTGTAATCCAAAATTGGTTTATCAAACATAAAGTGGCAGGATAGTAACTATCAAAATAAGTCATACGATTTATTGGAAGGTCTTTTCTATAAACTTTACGAAATATAATTTCATCATACACGTGTATTACTAACTATCGACTCTACATATGCATATGTATATGTGATACTGTGTAAATTTATGGTGTAGATCTTATCAGATATAATTATGATTATTTCGAGAGTGATAAGAAAAACATCCGATACTACGTACAATATTTGATATTCTTTTTTTTGTATGTGTGTGCACAATTGGAAAGACATTTTTTCATGATGTGATATTATCGGTTTAAAAAGAACTAGAGAGATGGATGTGTGTTACAAGTCTCGTATTAATTTCTTGGGTGCAAATTTAGACCGAATGGTCTGTTTTAATAAGAAAATCGGATGCCATAGGATGATTGACACGTGGATCATTTAAATTAAAATATAATTAGTATTCTAATAATTGGAAAAAAAAAAATAAGAAAAAGGAAAAAAGAAAACCCCAGCAGAACTCGTAACCCCTCTAACCCTAATTATAATAGCGTAATTTATTAAGAGTTATACTTAAAAGTGCCACATGTCAAAAAATTAGTGGAATCCGATTTATATTAAATATCGGCTCATCCGTTCAGAATTTAATCTCTATTACATTCTATATCAATATGGTGTAGAATAAGTCATATTTTATTAAAAATATCTTATTAAACAAATAAATAATAGGGAAATTTAGCAAAACCCCTTCATCTAGGAGATGTAGTTAAGGAAAACCGTTCTCTAAAAAATAATTGAAGAAAACCCCTTTTATTGTTGGGGAAATATACAATTCCCCCTCAAATGGAAAATAATATGAGTAAAACCCATTTGACTTTTAAGACTTTTGCACAAACCCACATCTCAAACTTAATTAGTGAAATCCCCTCAGTTAAACGTGATAAGACATAAGTAACCTTATTAACAGTTTTTATAATAAATCAAATATTCAATCACGATATCTTTCCATAACTGTTTCCCTTTAAGATAGTCGGACATGATTCTCTTTTGATTTGCAGGGTGATTTCAGTCGATACGGACGCAAGTCGAATTAGGTGAGATCAATGTTGTAAAAAGCGGTAATCGGTGCGGCGGTGATTAATCGAAAATAAATCGATTTTTAAAATTTAATATAATATATTTCTAAATATTATTTATAAATACTCAAAACATATATAAAAAGATATCTAAATATAGTTATATCTCAATCATGTATATATATCCTAATAACATAATAAAAGTTTAATTATAATAAGATCATAATACATAAATATCTTTATAAAATATAAATAAATAGGCAATTTTTTTGAATTTGCATTTCTTCTTGAACATTCCTAGCATACATCATTAGCTCTTTAACATTAACACTTAACATAAACAAAATAAAGCATAAACTCATTTTTTTTATTAAAATTCCAACTTTTATTTTGAACTAAAAAAAAAAACCGATTTTTGAACGATTTTTGGCCGATGTTTGCCACCGAGTTTGACCCGCCTTAAAGGTCTGACCGCCTCGGACCGCCTCAGACCATCGGGTCCACCCCTGGCGAGTCACTTATTGTCTTGATTTGTTTTGCAGGATCTTAGGCGAGTCCTCCCCTTCAATCCCTTTGACATCTGGCAAAGAACCATCGGCATTCCCGTTAGTGTGCTTGAAGACTAGTTCGTTGGGCTTCAAGACCATTTGGTTGAACCATTAATCTCGGAGTAGCATCATTTCGGCGCCCTCTATGGGAATGCGTACCAGAACACATGGAATGGAAGAAGGCGGTCGGAGGTCGGATGGACTCCCTCCTCGAGAAGCGTACGAGATCCCCAGTCCTCCCCGAATGGCTACGATGACAGAAACAAGAAATTCACCAGAACGGGCACCGTCGGTCTTGCAGATGACGACGAAAGAGATGGAAATCTTGATGGATCAAACGGCGGCGGTGGTAGCGCACTACCTAGCCGCCCATGGCGTTGCCCAGGAAGAAGAGCCGAACTCGGTAGCCGCTACCCCTCTTCTCCAGTTCTGGAGCCTTACGAATCGAATGAGGAGAGAGTGTCATTGAGCGACCGAAGCTTCTCCTCAACTTCTCCAAGGAATGCTCGACGCCGAACGCCACAACTTAGCCTATCGTCGGACCGAGTGTCCTAAAGGAATATGCGCCATGGCTCGCCGCTGGATAGCATCTCTTAACACTACAACCTTCAAAGGGGTGATCGTCAGCATAGAGCACGCCCTCGAGAGGGGACGAGCAAAGACATCACAATGCAAGCAATGACATGAAGCACCGTCGGTCCAACCACCATGGAGATCATGATCGAGTTGAAGGGGGTAGCATAATGTCTCGACTCGAGAAAAGAAGTAGACATCGATCGAAGGTTGACGACAACAATGCAAGAAGCCATCGGGCGGAGGTACTCTACTTCCCGGTAGGAGCCCGTTCAGCAAGAATAAGTCCATTTGTCCCGGCCATCCCAGAAGAAGTCTTGCTATTCGGATTTCGGATCCCTGACCTACTACAATTCAATGGGATTGCAGACCCCTAGGACCACATAAATAACTTCTACATGAAGGTCGATCTTTACGGTTTCACGGATGCAACTTACTGCAAGATCTTCCAGACTACCATGACTGGCCAAGCGCAGGGTTGGTTCATAAAGCTGCCAGGAGGGACCATCGACGGATGTGCGCAGTTAGTGAAACAATTCCTTAGTCAATATTCCATCAACAAGAAATATGAAAAGACTGGAATTTATCTTTTCAAGGTATTGCAACGCGAGGGCGAGACTCTTAGGGATTATGTGCAACTGTTTCTCTACGCGGTGCATGAAGTACATTATGTTAACCACGGTTTACTGGCGGGCATCTTGATGAAGAATCTGCGGCATGTGCATTTTCAGGAGTCCCTCGCTGATCATCCCCCCTCAACCCTAGATGAGCTCCTCAGTCGAGGCGAGAAATACATTCGCATAGAGAAGGCCGCGGAGATGGGGCTGTACATGAAGTGGAAACGCGATGAAGATCGACATTTTCACCATAATCGAGATGGGGACCGACATAACCCAGGGAGGAGAGACAAAAGGTGAACCAACCCTCATCCCATCCAAATTGCACGCCACTGAAGGCCAGGATGTTGGACATTTGGGTGGTGGCAAAGCAGAAAAGGCCTGGTTTAGCCTCCATGAATTATGAAAGAAATTTTGAAACCTAACAAGTTGGATAAATACTGTGAGTATCACAAGGATTGTGGGCACACAACTGATGAGTGCTTTCAACTTAAGTAACAGATCGAAAGACTAATTAAGAAAGGCAGCTCGGAGAATTCGTGCACCAACACCCGAACAAAAGGTTCAGAGGGAAATCCCAATTTCAAGGCGAGGGCGATAGTCGCGAGCCCAGAAAATATCGGAGTCCAAATCAACCGCCGAAGTTGTACACCTTGCGTTGGCCATAAGATCGCTTCCAAATCTCGGTAGTGCCGCAATCGTATGAGAAGGGGGAGAGTCTCGTCCATCCGGTTCGGTCGACGCCCCTTTCAAACACTTGGCCATTTCTCGACTCCCCCCTTCCAGATCTTTCCATTCCGGGTCGACCCGGTTTTCCAATAAATCCTCCAGATCCGAATCCCGTTCGCTCTCCCATGAAAATACCCGGTGCTGCAGAACATGACAATACCCAATCCGCCCCAAGCCACTACTCCTTGACCCGGAGTGTCGCAGCTCGGTTCGCCTCTACCCGGTGCGTCGCGACCTGGTGCACTTCAGCCCAACCAATCCCCTCGCCTGAAACCTTCACCCACCTCCGGATCTCCAACGTCACATCTCCACCAACATTTTCTTCCTCCCCCACAAACTCTACTGACTCATAACTCGATTCATCCTAGAATGTTGAATCCATCAAACTCCAATTCCAAAAAAAAAAAAAAGAGTAGAAATAGATGGGGAGAGGTGAAGAAGAGAAGATGAGAGAGGGAGAGTGGAGAAGGGAGAAGGAAAGAAGACAGAGAATGCAAATTAAAGAGATAAGGGGGAGATATTTATTATCTTGGTCAAAGTCTTCAAAAGTCTCTCTCTACAAATTCCAAAGTCAATACTCCTTAAGTGCCAAGTAAAAGACTTCACCTACTCTAAGCTCTTTCTTTTATACTACTCCTAAGCTTGCCTATGGATTCGTGGCCCAACTTGGGAGTGGGGGGCTTAATGGTGTATCTGAATGGACTTTAGGCGTACTTAGCCTAGTAAGGGCCCAACTAGGGAAAAAAGACCATTAATAACTCAACTCCTACATTATTGTCCTACATTGATTCTATCCAAGAAACAAGTAATCAAGTTCACCTATAAATGTTAGAGTAGGTGACAACAAGCTAACATGTGGCTGTGGTTTTTCCATTTATTCTTGTAATAAATAATTCTTTTTCATATTAATGATAAAAAACACAATGGCATTCTATATCTTTGTCCCTTTGGCTCAAACATAGATATAGTCCTTACAGTTATTACAAGTACTAGTAATTGATCTTTAGGATCGTGAGATATTTAGTTTAGTATTATAACTGTTAAACGTGTTCCTAGTCGAACGGTTACGCCACCAATGAAGATATCGGCCTTTCCCATTAAGAGACTAGCACTTAGTTATGTGTACTGTATCTCATCAGTAAACAGTATTGTGACACCGGCATGCATAAGTGGGTGCTCGTAAGTTGATGAGGTCACTGAACTCCCTCACCCTAGAAATCTCTAAGTGGTTCTCAATAATCGAGTAGAGATATCTATGGTATAGTTGTACACCATTAGTCTTTATGACCTAGACATCACCGTGACTTCACTAGAGGACCAGCTGTATCGTGACCTGCCCTGAGTTCCACCGAGGACCGCCCCAAGGGCCAGTGTTCGTGCAGTCCAAAATCTAGTGGGAGGTCTGTGCATTGTAGTCGAGGATTCGATCTCTAGAATAGTCTTGGATGTCCTGTGTGTTCTCATAGTTTGTAATCTCTAAGTCTCTGGCCAGAGCTGACTAAGTGATGATTAGAGAATTCAATTCTCTATGTCATGCACGTACCGATTATAACACTTAGAACGATCGCACAGTTATTGAACTACTAAGGAGGTCTCGATGAACCAATGCCTCTAGTTCGATCGGGACATATGAATCGAAGGGATCGTACTGTACGTTAACTATATCAAAAGGTTCTTGCAAGCACTTCATTTGAATCTAGGGAATCATGACGCGTAGTTGCTAGACGCCAATCTTGATTCGTTGGGTGATTAAGGTGAAATGAGCTTCATCTTAATCGTAACTCTAAGGGACGAGTTTAGACCATAAAGGATTGTGGACCCACGGCTAGCTTACACCTGAACCATCGAGGGTCACACTGCTCGTGCACTCGAGATCTTTGAATAAACGGTCAAAGATAAAAATGTTTAATCTTTGCATGATTGGAAGTCAATGTGATTGAGTCCAACATTCATAATTTGGAATTATGAATGAGAATAAGAAAAGGAAAAGAATAGTCGAACATCTTAGTGAACTTTCTAAATCGGGAAGTTTCCAAATTTAGAAAGTCCAGTACATTAAGGTTTCCACTTTTAGAAATGGAAATCGTGAATTGGGTCCGTTTTTTGACTTTTACGTGTCTAGTGCCACGTAGTTAGTTGATTTCGGTATAGGAGCTAAAATCCGAGAGGAGGAAGATCAAGGAGTCAATCGTTTAGAAGCAGCCGCCGAGCAGGCGTCGCACGCGCCGCCTGAAGATAGTGCGTGATCCACACGCGCCGCCGCTGCTAGCGTGTCCGCCGCCGTCGCTTCACCGCCGCCGCTCCCGACTGCACGGATTTGTTTCCATGGCAGTTTGCTTTGATCCGAGTGCTTGCCTCACGCTTCAAGTGGAAAAATTTCGGATCCGATATTCGTTAGGTGTTAATTTAATTAGATTAAATTATATGTGTTTGTATTCGGACTATGTGTTTGGTGAATTAATATATGTTTCGTGTTTATATGAAATTCATGATTTACTGCGAGCATGTTATGTGATTTATTGTCGAATAAATTAATATGCATGATTGTTGTTTTTAATTATCGCTGGAAGCGCAAAGGTACGCAATTAATTGTTTTAATTCGAATTGAGCATGTGATTATGTGAATTGAATTGTTTATTTCACGTAAAATTTTGTTTTCCGTTGTGTACACGTGCCTGATTCCCAACAGTGGTATCAGAGCTCGTTACGCAATTAATTGCGTTTTTAATATGCTATGCTTATTTTGATGCATATTTAATTTATTAAAGTTGTGATTGTTGTATTATTTAATTGGGTGTTTTCGAAAGTTTAAATTATTTTTGAAATATTGTTTAGAATTTTTCCAACTTTAAAATTGTTTAAAATTGGAAAATCGGATCTGAAATTTAATTGAAAATGTTGGTTTTAATTTATTCGGATCGAACCGGTCGAATCGGCCGGTTCGATGGTTCTATTAGATCCAACTGACTTAATCCACGTGGATTCAGATCGGTCATACTGGTTCTCGGTCTGACTGATCCGGTCCACTGATTTGGGTCAGCTGGACCGGTCAGAACCGGACCATTTCGGTCCGAACCGGTTCACTAAAAAAATTAAAAAAAAAAAATTAAAAAAAAAAAAAACAAAAAAAAAATATTTCAGATTTCTAAAATTAAACTTAAAAAAAAATGATTTTAAATTTTGGAGATTTTTTTTCAATTAAACCCAATTAGATAATCGATTCAGCAATCATATATTTTAGTAAATAGGTGTTAGATTAATTAATTAAGTTAAATTGTTAAATTGATCTTAATTAATAGAACACACAAATAATATTGATTATACTTCAACTTAATTACTAGTACCTCAACATTATTTGATTGATTTATGCTAGTTGAGGTCCTACAATTATTTTGAAAACACGATAATTAATTAATGTAATTAATTATATAATTAGGTCGTATGTTCCTTTTAGGACAATATGCGTTTCCATATACCTTTAGAGAACATAGATGTAGGAATCACATTGACCAATCCAAACCTTTTGATGAGATAAAACTTTTTCTAAAATTCCCTCATTCTTAATTTAATTAAGAATTATTTCAAGCTATAAAGAAAAACCAATTTGTTGAATTCTTCTTTCCTTCTGCCAACGGTTGAATTATGTGTAGCCCTTTACTATAGTGCAGTAAGCCGTGTTAGCGGGGAGTGCTATGATAAGGTAAGCTGTAATTCAATTGACATAATGATGAAGGTAGCCATAGAAAAGGTTATGCTAGATTAACGTGGTCGGCTAGATTAACTAGGGACTGCATTAGTTGGGTATAATTAAGTTCTATGAGCATCTTTGATTGGTAGGTTAGACTTGACACACGAAGATTTTGATTTCGCGAGACTAACTTAGGTCATTATCAAGTATGAGAAAAATTACTTTAGGGTCATATAAATGATATAATTGATTGTGATCTACCTTTGGGCAAATATAATCGGGCTAGATTAACTACGGGTTATATTTGTCTATTGGACCTAAAGCCCATTAAGAAAAATCGGTTTCCTCGTTTGTCTACTAGAGGGAAGTGGAACTCGATAAAATTAGTGGGAGAACAATTAAATCACATAAGTCCAAACATTTAATTGTAAAATCATATAATACGAATCTCTAATAATCCTCTTCTCTAAACCTCTCAGATAATCATGTCTAAGAATCTCATAATGTCAATCCTCGACAATAAACTCAATGGCCCTAACTATCTAGATTGGTTGCGTGGTCTTAAACTTGTGCTAACCGTTGAAGGGAGTCTCTATGTCCTTAATGAGAGACTTCCTTCCACTATACCCGACACTGCGACTGATGCTGAAAAGGAAACTTATGTAGCATGGAAAAAAGACGACACTCATGCTAGGTGCTACATGATAGCCGCCATGGAGCCCGCGCTTGCGAGAAAATATGAGTCTCACTTACATGCTTTCGATATGAAGGCTCATCTCGATAGCATGTATAGTGAGAATGTTAGGGCGTCGAGGTATGCTGCTACAAAGGAGTTGACCACTGCGAGACTGCGCGAAGGGGCTTCGGTCCACGAGCACTGTCTCAAAATGATCACTCTCCTTGAAAAGCTAGTGAACCTTGACATCACCCTCCCTACCGAGCTCTCGTTGGATTTGATCTTGTTGTCTCTTCCTAGTTCCTATGAATCGTTCATAGTGAAATTCAACATGAACAAACTTGATCCTCCCTTGGATGAGTTAATGAACATGTTAGTCAGTTTCGAGTCCACCATCAAGAAAGAGAATTTAAATCTGTTCTCGTTGCTGCTACTTCTGGAAAGAAGAGTTCTTCTCAAAAGAAGAGAAAGGAAAGAGTTCCCTTCCCAAACAGCAAGTTCGATGTGGGTGAAGGTAGTGGGGGCCCTAAGGCGAAAGTCAGCAAGCAAGCTGATGATGCTTGTCATCACTGTGGAAAGAAAGGGCATTGGCGCCGCAACTGCAAGGCTTACCTAAGCAGAAACGTTCTGAAAAGGGTACGTATTTCATTGACATAAATTTGTCTGTCAATTCTTCTTCTTGGGTATTAGATACGGGCTATGGCTCACACTTATGTAATGATTTGCAGCTAATGACAAGAAGTAGAAAGCTTAGAGCGGGTAAGACCTACCTAAGGATGGGGAATCGAGCAAGAGTTGCTGCTGAAGCCATTGGCACAATTTACTTAAATGTTTTGGATTCTAGTTTTCCTATTGTTTTGAACGATTGTTTATTTGTTCCGTCTCTCATTAGAAACCTTATTTCTATTCATGTTTTAGATATTGAAGCTTTTACTTTTGTTTTTGGAAATTCGATTTGCATTATACAAAAGGATGAAATTTTAATTTGCAAGGGAAGACTATTAAACAACTTATATGAACTAAATCCAAATGAAATACCAATTAATGTTATATCACCAAAACGTAAGGAGATAGATCAAAACCCCGCACATCTTTGGCACGCTAGATTAGGTCATGTCTCTTTAAGAAGGATGAACGATTTTGTTAGTGAAGGATTGTTCACTTTGGACGACGTGAAATCACTATAAACTTGTGAATCCTGCCTTAAAGGGAAAATGACCAAGTCACCCTACAAAGGGAAAATGGAGCGGGCCGAAGGTCTTTTAGATTTGATCCATACAGACGTATGTGGTCCATTAAGTGTTAGTGCGAAGGGTGGATACAACTACTTCGCTACCTTTACCGACGATTACTCTAGGTATGGGTAAGTGTAATTGATGAAGTACAAGTCCGAAACATTTGAAAAGTTCAAAGATTTTAGACACGAAGTAGAGAAGCAACTCGGACGAAGTATTAAGAAACTGCGATCCGATCGTGGTGGAGAATACTTGAGCATCGAGTTCATTGACTATCTAAAACAGAATGGAATACAATCTCAATGGACTCTACCTGGAACTCCTCAACTTAATGAAGTTTCCGAGCGTCGGAATAGAACCTTGTTAGACATGGTTCGATCTATGATGGGGTTCACCAACTTACTGGCATACTTGTGGGGTCACGCACTCCGCACTGCCGCGTATTTGCTGAATAGAGTTAACACCAAAGCAGTTAAATCCACACCATACGAACTTTGGCATTCCCGGAAGCCCAACATCAAACATATTAGGATATGGGGTTGTCCCGCTTATTGTACTTGAAGACTAGTTCGTCGGGCTTCAAGACCATTGGGCTAACCCATTAACATAACCATTTGTTAGGCAAAATAAACTGCATTCCTGTATCGCTAACAAGTGATCATTCACTGTCATCTTTGTGATTCACACCATGGTTATGTTAATCTCCGATGGGCAGAGAATTAGGGTTTTGGTTTCTCATTTTGGGAATTTTTATTTTCTCCTCTGTTTTTCTTCTCAAATTATTCTTTCTCTTCTTCTTTGTCTTTGTTCTCGTTGCGCGAATTGAAGATATAGATGTGTTTTGATTTTTGAACATCAAATGTCTCAAATAATCGTACTAGGGAGAATGAGTTTTTAGGTGAAGTAGTACGTATACAATATTATTTTAAAAATAAATGTATTATTAGTCGCAATGTAAAAAAAACACGTATAAGAAATTAGAGATTAAATTCTGAACGGATGAGCCGATATTTAATATAAATCGGATTCCACTAATTTTTTGACATGTGGCACTTTTAAGTCTAACTCTTAATAAATTACGCTATTATAATTAGGGTTACGAGTTCTGCTAGGGTTTTCTTTTTTCCTTTTTCTTTTTTTTTCCAATTATTAGAATACTAATTATATTTTAATTTAAATGATCCACGTGTCAATCATCCTATGGCATCCGATTTTCTTATTAAAACAGACCATCCGGTCTAAATTTGCACCCAATGTAATATTACAATTGTGATTTTAAGAAAAGAAAATGAAAAAGAAAAAATTATTTCCTTACATAATTATTTATTTCTATTTTTCCTTTTAATCTCTATGCAATCTATAATAATGTATCCCTCGATAATGTGATATAATTAGAAATAAGTTTTTGGTGTGCAGGTTCAAAAATGTTTTGCAACAACCATATTAAACTATTTCTGAAAGACTCTGTTGTTACCACAACAGGGAGGGTTGGTATTAACTTTTGCATTTCGAACTGACGATCTATTTTAACTATTCAAGATCAATTAATTTCTAAAAAACATTTAAATTCTTAATATTATAAGGTCTATGCAATTAATAAAATGTTATTATTCTACATTATACGCAAGGGGTTTGTTATTATGAGTGCACTTTTTTCCAGTTATAGTGCAAAATAATTTATTTCTAAAGGAACCTTTTATTTTTTTCCAAACTCTCTCAACCTCCAGATAAACCGAACTTTGTAGATCGTGATTTTTTTTCGCTACAATCAGTTAGAACACAATAATTATCAACATGGCCAACATCGATCCCAATAATGAGGTAAAAAATTACGTTTTTATCTGATAATCGTCGATTTGTATGCGTTTCGTGTAAGATATCACGAAATTTTGCATTGAGTTTCGTGGTTTCCTCCACGAAATTAACATCATATTCTGTTTTATCAATAATTCCGTGCAACACACTACGATATGTTAAATCATATTTCGTGTTTATCTGCACGAAATAAAGGATAAACTCCCTTATTGTTTGTTTCGTGCATTTGTACACAAAATGTAGACAATGATTGTGTGTACTTGTATACGAAATCTCTAGTGTTTCCTTTTTTTCTTTTTTCTTTTTTCTTTTTTTTTTTTTTTTTGTGCAAGTATCTAACTAATTTATCTTTCTTTAAGCAGCAACATGGAGACAACTTGTATTTCGATCCGCAGTTTTGGAACGAAACGAATATGAAGATTTCTCTCACTTCTTCCAAGTTGATATTTTGTTCGATAGTAGGGAAGAATTAATCAAGTAGGCGAAAGCAACTGCCGTTAGTCATTCTCACCGTTTGATTTGTCAGTCTAGAAGGGAGAATGCTCAATATTTGATGTGTGATAAATACGGACATGCCGACAAACGAATATCGATGTGGAAGATGCTAGAAACACTGGAGCAAAAAAATGTGATTGTCCGTTCAAATTGATTGGCAAAAAGTCAAGGTTTGATGAATTATGGCGGTTGACTGTCAGCGATGGCAAGCATACTCATCCTCCAGGTTTGTTTCCTCAACGACATGGTACGACTAGTCGTATAACTCCACATCATAAAGCAAAAATTAAAGAATTGAGAAATTCTCAAGTGAAGGCAATATTAATCATGGATAGATTGAGGAAAGATGATCCGACGATACAAACCTCTATGAAGCATGTTTACAATGAGTTGGCCAAGGTTAAATCAAAGGAAATGGAGGGGATGACTGTTATTCAGTTTATGATGCATAACTTTCGACAAGGCGAGTATCGATATTGGCAGCGTGTCGATCGTGAAATGAGCAACTCAATAACGGATATTATGTTTGCAGGCCCTTAATCGACTAAGCTACTATGACTGTTCTCGTATGTTATATTGATGGATCGCACATACAAAACCAATAAGTAAGTAAGTTTTTACGATTGTTTTAAATTATAATTGTAGTTTTATAATGTATTGTTTAAATATGTGAAAACAATTATGGAACGCCTCTTTTGAAAATAATTGGGATTAATCCAGTTGGGAATAATTTCACGATTGTTGTTGCATTTGTGTCATATGAAGATGCCGACACCTACAAGTGGACTTTGAATTGTTTGAGAGAGTTGTTAAATGGTGTCGAACCTGATGGGATCCTGACAGATAGGGAGTTGGGTCTCTTGAAAGCACTGTCAAATGTCTTTCCAGTTTCGTATCTCATGTCGTCTATATTCCATATAAACAGAAACATTGAGGTAAAAGCGACGAAATTTATGGGAGGCAACAAAGACCAAGGTCTTATATTCCAACGTGGAGTGTTAGCTAAGCTGCTGAAATCAGAAATCGAAGAAGAGTACCATTACAATTACAATGAAATTGTTGGACGGTATGCAGGATACCCTAAACTGATACAGCATTTGAATGATACGTGGTTGATATACAAGGAGAAGTTTGTCCGAGCCTATACCCACAATGTGTATCATTTTGGCAACACGTGCACCAACAGGTATTACATATTTTAGTTATTTAAATGGTAAAATATATTATATAAAAAATAATATTTCTATTATAATTTGATTGTCGTTGTAATCGGACAGGGTGGAGAGTTCTCATTCTTCTGCAAAGGGTTGGTTAAATGCTTCGACCGGAGGAGTTGATAATGTGCAAAGCAAACTTCAGGACCAAGTTTATATCCAATTTAGTCAGTTAAAGTGCGATTTTTCATTATCATCCAAGTTAAGGAAGCATATTGCAGCGTGGTCGTGCTTTCAAGTTTTGATTTGTTACATTACGCATATGGCATTGGAGAAATTTGATCAAGAGATGGAGTCCCTAACGATGCAAGATCCGAGTACTTGTACCCCCTATCTTTGGAATATTCATGGGCTCCCTTGCGCATGCAAAATTTTGCATAAAATGGAAGATAATGACAGGTTCGTCATTTCAGACCTGCATCCATTCTGGAGTACCATGGCAGTTGAACCTTCGGAGCTATCAGAGTATCACGTAAACCGCGAGGCAATTGTGGATAGACAGATTAATGACCTGAATTGCCATTTGAATGTCGTGGCCTCATTGCGTGGAATAGTTTATTCGTCTACGACTCATTTGTCCGAGCCATCACTTGTTAATACCAAAGGACGACCAAAGAATAACTCGACAAAGAGAGGCCCTTCGAGATGGCAGTATCATATTGATGAGAAGACAATTAGGTCGTATTGTGGTTCCAAGGGTTCGCAATTCTCCCCTGCTACAAAGATTCCTAAAGCAAAGATTGATAGAAGCACTGATGGAACGCCTCAATCGAACATGAAAGGTTGTGGTTCTCGTATTTCCGCATAAGAATTTGTTGCCCCTATAATACTTGCACATGAAGGAATCGACTTCTATTCTTTGTGCCCAAATTTATGGTCCGTCTTATTCAAGATTATGTCAATGTGATGGCGGATGGCAATTGTGGGTACCGGTGCATTGCTCAACCCATGTACGGGGATCAAGAAAAATGGCCGCGAGTAAGAGGGGAGTTTCTTATTGAATTATACGAGCATGTTGATCTGTACACAGCGATGTTTGGCAGTACTGGATACGTTCAGGTGATACACAAGTGTGACTGCCCATCAGGCCCTTGTCCACAAGCTTATTGAATAGATATGAATGAAATGGGATTTGGCATTGCTACCAAATACTTTTGACCCAAGTGAGGAGTATGACTTACCTTCCTATGTTTGGCAGTGGTCACTTATCACGTATGATTATTGTGACATTGCACAACAATCATTTCATACTTGTTAATTTGGTCGTGAATAGTCATTTACCACCTATACATCCGGCATGGGTACATCATAGAGCTAAAAATTTGAGGCACTTGCTCAAAAAGTTCAAACCCCGACTACTCTTGTACGAACAATTAAAGTGTAGTCGGTAGTTTACAAAATGTTCTTTTATTGTAATTTGTATCTGTATTTGAATTTTAGTTCAATTTGTATTAGTACTCGAGTTTAAGAATATTTATGTGAATTTATTGTATTTATTTGACTGTTAACAGATAAGTTTGTTAAATTAAAAAAAGAGCAATTAGGGATTTCGTACAGTATTGTACGAATGTTGAACTTCCATTTTGTGTAAAATACTAGAAAATTGAAGCTACTATTTCATGTTCTTCATCACGAAACTAAAGAACTCATGAAATCCCACAATTTCATCCTCCGTATTCTATACTAATAAACACATATGTTTCATGTATTTGTTCACAAAGTTGTTCACTGCATTTCGTGGGTTATAAGTTATAACACAAAATGGCGGGCAATTTTTGGTTTTTTTTGGGAAAGTTACAAATGAAATAAATCACAAAGCAAACCATGAAAAATGTTCTATGAAATAGCATTTCAATATACGAAATGCAATTCTGCTGGGATATATGAAGTGGATCCACATTTGGTCTCTTCCACTGGCTATCAAGCAGACACACATTGAACACCTAACATGGAAAGATTTCATCTCGCAAAACATTTGACAGCACATAAATTTTCCATCACAAGCCCGGCAGTTATAACCAATTAAATAACAAAACATAAGCAACAGACAAATGGTAATGAAATCACAAATAAAATAAAATCCATAAACAAAAGTATCCCTCACAATGTAACCATAGCAGAAAACCAAAAAGAATCCCATTTCTGGAGAAAACATTCAAATCTATGTTACTCTCTTACAACCTTTTTTGTCCTAAGCAAATAGGAAACGAAACAAAACAAAACTCAAATTCAACTTTCTTAAAAGACCCGTTGAGGACGTCCCATAGTGCTCTTCAAGTACAAGCATCTCACCTGAGATACAAAATATAATCAAAGAATATTTCAGTACAATATTTCGAGGAACAAAAATAATATAAACGAGGTTAAAAAAAAAACAAGGGTTTCTTACATTTTGCCAATTCTTCTTCAAAAGGGAAACAAGGAAGTTGACGCTCATTTGCACGTTTTGGAAGATTTGCTTCTCCTCCATTGATAGATTCCCAACAGCAACTCCCATGCAGAGCACCTTCTTCAATTGGAACTTGACAGTCGCCTTTGTCTCGTTCACCTTCGCTTCAAGAGATTCCTGGTGAGACACAAGGGTCGGGAATTTACCTGCATCAAGCATAATGCAAAATAAGCAAAACAGGGAAAACAAAACTTACAAATTACAAGAAATATTCAAATAGGTGTCTGAGTAGTAATTTATTAGATAAACATATAAAGATTAGCATACAAGTTTCCAACATAGGAAACAAGATGGACCTAACTAATAGGTTTTCGGGTTTTCGGGTTTCGCAACTTTCTTGAATTATTAACTCGATGGAAAGATTTGCAAACATTTTGTTTTCAGTTTTAAGATTTGTAGTTTGAGTAATTATTATCACACAAGATGAACTATTCTTTTACGTGCATTAGACAAAGGTAGTAGTTTACCTGCTTTGTTAAGACCGGGACCTAAGAGACGGGGAATCTGTTTAATGACAGCTTCGGAGGCCAAGAAAGCATGGTATTTCTTTGCAAGCTTCTTCACCAACTTCTTGTTCTTGTTTAGCTTCTTAAGAGCCTCCACATCCATGGACTCGAGACCAATCTTAGTGGCCTGAAGTTATATCATTGAAAAGCAAAACAGCATCAAATATTAAAATCCATGCATCAAGTAGAGTACCAATAAACAAAAATAACAATACGAAAATCTATATATAACAAACAGATACAGAACCCCCAAAAAATTAACCGATGCATTATTAAGTTTTCAACATTAGAAAATCAAGAAAATGACATGCTGCATCACCATTTTACGTATACCGTGTTCAGTATTTGTTCATTACAACCACAGAACTACTTAAGCTATGAAAATCGACAAAGTAAGCAACAATGTAAAAGCACTACAGATTGGGTGATAAATCAGATATGATACGGCGGCATTTCATCATTATACCGTACAAAGCCATCTTCGGCAATCTAATTTAATCTCTTTGGATAAAACTAAAACACTAAAAGGGGCCGAGTGATGTAATATATGTATACCTCTTCAACATGCTGAGCATCACCAAGCATGCAAATCTTCATCTTGGGCCTCGGGATATGGGGCAACTTCACAGAGCCACTGAAACGCTTGTCTTTTTGCGGGTCGTAGTTCTTGAGTCCAATCTGGAGCTCAATCGTCTCGGTGAACTTACGGTTCTTCTCCTTACAATCTGCGGCAATCTGGGTGATTGCTTCCCTAACGGCATCGCTCTGAAGCTTACTGTATATACATTACAGTCAGGAACAAAATTCAGCACATACAACTTCAACATTTGTGAACACAACAAACCCTAAATCACATGCTTCAATTCACCGAAAAGACTGAACATTTCTTTTTATTAGAGACAAAAACAAAATCAGCACATACAAACTTCAACATTCGTGTGCGCATAATAAATCTGCACTAAATTAACAAACCCTAAATCACATCCTTCAATTCACCAAAAAGACTGAACATTTCTTCTTTATTAGAGACAAAAACAAAATCTAAAAGGTATGCATATACAGAATACAGATCACAAACAAAACAATAAAAAAAAAAACCCAAAATCAGAGGTTTAATCCATAAACGATTCATCGTACCTCATGATTCCCGAAGCCGCCGAAAACGAAAATTAAGCTGTGAAGAAGAAGAAAAAAACCCTTGTCAGTAAATATGCTTACACTGAGACGCAGTATAGAGAGAGAGAGAGAGAGAGGCGAGGGGAGAGAGAGAAACCTTAAGAGAAAGCCTTGATTAGGGTTTGTGAGAGTGTCGATGGATTTAAGAGGAGTGGTGGAAAATGAAACCCAGCTCATTTTAATGAAAGGCTATATTGGGCCCAATTAATTGAAGACCATTTGATTTAACTCTCGGCCCAAATTAATCCTAACTTAAAGCCCATTTATATTATTTATTTGTTTTTTAATTTATAAGTATGAACTTATCCAGCTTTTTTCTTTGGACATGGCTAAAACAAATACCGTTTATTTCTCACTTCAATATCATCAACATAAAAAATAGAAAATAAGTAGGTAATGACATTAATACCCTTAATAAAACCATACCACACAATTTTTTTTTGTGTGATATTGATTTTCATTAAGGGTAATAATGTACATATTTATTATCTATTTTTTTTTATATTGGTGGTATTGAAGTGAGAAAGAAACGGTATTTGTTTTAGCCGTTCACTTTTTCTTTTCCTTTTTTAAGAACATGCGTAGAAACAATGCATCATCTACTCAGCCCTTAGCTTCACAAAATGCACAATGATTGTCCTAAAAAACTCTACGCTTCGGGAGGTTAGACCTAGTAGGAAGCAAATTATGTTTGTAATGCCATATAAACTTAAAGTGGATAAATTACTTAAATATATAAAAAAAAAAAATTGAAAATCGGCAATGTTCGATAGATCCACGAGTTTCTGGCCGATCTACTCGAGCCCCAATTTTGATTTTTTAGTTCTTATCTCTTGTTTATTTACCCGGAGCTTTATTTTCGACATCTAGGCGTCAAATTTTGGAAAACTCTTATTTCGACATCTAGGCGTCGAATTTTGGGGACAAATTCGACATGTAAATGTCAAATCGCGCCTGTGCGAATTGGTTTTCCAAAAACGATAACCTGGCTTTTAAAACACATATATGCATACTGATACGATTTATTATTTAATTATTAGTTAGTTAGTATTTTTATTATTAATTAATTAGAATAGTTTGTTTAGGTTTATATATTGCCGTGAGTACTTAGTTGTTAGGAGAAATATTAAGTATTTTATTAGTATAGGTAATTATGTTTCCTAGTTAGATTAGGATTCTAGGGTTTTCTTATATTTAAATAGTCATCTTGTGCTAGGATTTTATAATGAAGAGAGAAATATTAAAGAATAGATCTTACGTTTCGTAGGAAATATTTATGATACACAAGAGATCGCATCACATACCTCCGTGGGTTCTTCCACCGTAAAATCTTCCATTTTGATGTTTTTTGACTCCGTACTTGCCCTCTTTGTAGGTTTTGTTGAGTTTTGAGGGTTTTGAATGTTGATGTTTTGTGGGTTTATGGAAGAGGAAGGAAAAAGGTTATTGTGGATTTTTGAAGATGGAGAAGATGGGAATTTGGTCTTGTGGTTTTGAGGTTAAATTTTTTTGGTTTTTAAGTTTATGGTATTCCAACCGAAGATTACCGAAAAAATACCAAAGTAGCGGTTACCATTTCATTCGGTACGGTATGAGTACCATACCGCAAATGGTTGGTAAAATAATGGTATTACATTTTCAATACCATAGTAATACCGTACCGTACCATACTTACTATTATAGTATATTTTCTATTTATTTTTAATTTTTTTCCTTAATTTTTTGTACCATAATATTTATTTATAACTTTATTTTATTACATATAAGTTTTCTGATTTTTCTCAAACAAAATGTATTTTTTTCTTCTTCTAATATATATCAACAATAGCCATACATATATGAATAAATCTGCGCTATGTGACGACGTAAAATTAATTATAATGTTTGGCTCAATAAAGTATGAAGACGTTAAAATAATATAAATTTATATATTACGAAATCCATTTACGGGTAAAATTGACAAGAATTTTTTATTTATTATTTTTTTTAATCAAATTTTAGTTTAATACAAGATAATGGTAGCATACCATGTACCACGGTATTGTACCAAAAGTAACGGTATACCAAACAACGGCATAGCGAATGTTTCGGTATGGTAATGGTACGGAACTTCTCATTACCATAAGTTACGGTTGGTGCACGATAATGATAAAAAACATCGGTATCCCTTGCATTAACTTTTAGGGCTTGTTCGGTTACCTATATTGGATTACATGAGATTGGATTAACTTCCTACTGACTAATTAATTATTTAGTTAGTAGCATGTACGGTTTCTTATATTAGATTTTCTATTAAATTTGTTAAAATCAGTTATTACATATGAATTCTCTATAAAACCACTTAGTTTACAATAATAAAATATAATTTTAAGGATAAAATTGTATTTTTCCTTTTTAGTCACCTCCTATTAAATTAATCTCAGGGGGAGGGGTGCTACTAATTTAATGAAATAGTAGCATTTAATAGCGGACTTTGAATTTAGTAGCGGGTTTGAAAAAGTGTGAATTTTACCAACCGGACATGCTATTAGCCCCTACTATTTAGTCAGTAGAACCTTATAGCTGTAATCAAACGAGCCCTTATTCTACTAAGTAAGCGTATTATAGTATTTGTACATTAAAAAATTTAATTTGGTCTTGCACTTAAAGGAATTAGCATTACAAATAGTTGTGGCCAATGACTAATTGAATAAATAAGTATTAATATTTTAATTTTGGAACTTCTTAGACACAATAATAATTGTAGGGATGTTTTGGTAATAATTGTTTTTAAATAGGACTTTTTTGGTATTTTTCCTTATTATTAAAATTATTTCTTTAGTACAATTACCACGATTAGGTTTTTTGGGTATGAAATTAACGAAAAATCTCGTCCCAAAATTCCCATTTTCTAGGGAGCCTTTGAAATAAATTTTCCGATTTCACTCTTTTTTTTCACCCTTCGGCCTTTGTTAATTGTAACACCATTTGAAGCGTTTCGACTCAGAAGAGAGAGAAGAAGAGAGAGAGAGAGAGAGAGAGAGAGAGAGAGAGCGAGCGGAAGAAAGAGAAGATGGGTTGGATCGGAGAGCAGATCGATTCCATCAAATCCTTGAACTTCAGACAAGTCCTCACTCAAGCCGTTAGCCTCGGTTCGTACTCAATATTTTTCTTTTGTGTAGAGAGATTCTCTTTGTTTTTTTTTGCCTGTTGAATTTCTGATTAATCTCAGCTATGTTTTTTTTTTTTGGTTTTACTTTGGAAATTCGAAAGGGTCTTTTGTTTTCTGTTTTGAGTAGTTTTAAGTGTGGTTTTGATGATTTTATGTTAATTCTTCTGCGGTTACTTCTCGAATGTGCGAAAGAATGAACGGGTTTACGAGGATACGATGGAGGAGACAAAATCGGGGAGATGAATTATAAGCATCTTTCAAATTTTTAGATTGATATTCTCTACATTTTGTTTCGATTAAAGATATGGTAAATAGCATCTAATCCCCTTGTGGTTCGACTGCTTCGTACATGAACCCCTTATGGTTGAATCATTTTTCATCTATTTGCAACGTTGAGTGAAACATATATTTACACAATCGTCGAAGAGCTCCAAAAAATTTAGAATTTTCATATCCAAAAATATTAGTTTCATTCATATCAACAAAAAGTCGATTACTCAGATTTCAGATTTCAAATCACAATAGCACAACGAGACATTGAACGCGCATGGGCATTCACAAACCTTAGTGTAAAAACAAGTAGCTATACACAAACAAGTTCATCGAGTATCTAGAAAAAATCATGAATTAATTGGGAAGGAGATGTTGAATCTAGTAGAGGTTGTCCTGCCTTGTGATTCTTCAGTGTCAAGCTAATTAGCTTCATTATCTATTAAGAAAAAGATTAGTTTATACTTCGGTAAAAATCCATTACTTCATATTTGGGTGCGTAAATTATGCGTTCAGTTAACTTTAACGCGAAAATTTCGACGGACATTATATATTCAAAACCACATAAGGGGTTATGTTCTTAAAGTACGACCGTAAGGGGGTTGGATGCTACTTAACCTTAAAAAATATGCAATATTGTGTTTTTGAACTGTTTTGTTTGCTTATATGTTGTCCATATCGTGTTTTTGAACCGTGGCGTTTTGTTTACACGCACACAAACACACATACATTCTTTTAGACGTATTATATGTATATATCTTTTTGGTCAAGTTCCCTATATAAACTCTCTATTACCCCTATGGCATTGAAGACATACAATATTTAGTCTTCGAGGGAGGGTTTATAATTGGTTCCCTGGATAAGTTATTCACACGAATCATTATTTTATAAAATGGTCCTCACACCAGTTCATTTGATTTCGTCTATGGATCTTGGATTTGTGGTACCTTTATTCTGTGTAAATTTTTTTTTTTCGTTTTGTCTCTGGGTTTTGCATCGAAGAAGTATATGACCCAATTAACCTTATTGTTTCTAATTTATGCCAGGTATGATCGTTACATCCGCACTTATTATATGGAAAGGATTAATGTGTATTACTGGCAGTGAATCGCCTGTAGTTGTCGTGCTGTCTGGCAGTATGGAGCCCGGTTTCAAAAGGGTGAGTTCTTTCATATCTTAAATGCGTGTGAGAAAATCTCGACAACTTTTTATTAATCCGCCAATTTTCAGTATGTCGTGGGATTAAAATCACAAGCTACTGCTTTTGATGAAATAAATTGTTGTTTATTTACATTTTTTCCCTCGATTTTAACTTCGTAATTTACTTTCTTTCAGGGTGATATCTTGTTCTTGCACATGAGCAAGGACCCAATTCGCTCTGGAGAAATTGTTGTGTTCAACGTTGATGTATGCCGCCCTTATATCAATATTCATATTTGCGTATCGTTGCATTTCTAATTTGCTAGCCCATATGCTCGTTTATTTGTCGTTAGTTCACGATTCAATTTTGCCAATTTGGAGAAACTAAAAATATATGTTCTCCGGAAATGGATCTACTAATTCAGAGCTTTAAGTCTCATTTTCGAAACTTCTTGATGGCAAAACTAGAATACAATTACTGAGGTATGAGAAAACTCGATGAAGAAAAGATGTATCATGGTCTTTACTACTGCTTGTAGAGCTTCATAAAGGAGAAAGCCCGTCTTTTAATTTATCTCAAAATTTTTAAATGATTTCATCAGTATCGTATGTGTTGAGTAGGCATTTAGAATCAATCTTCTTGTTATATTCTTTTTTTTTTGGTTTTTTTCTGAAACTTATTTCGATTGTTTTTGCTTACCAACAGGGACGTGAAATACCTATCGTCCACCGAGTTATCAAGGTACGATTGATGTTATTTCTGTCCTTTTCTCTGTCCATATGTTTCAATTAGCATTCGGCTATCTGCAAAAGAAACATGACACGGTGTCAAAGTTTGCCGTAAAAACATGCAAGCTTTATTTATTTATTTTATTCTGTTGAATTCATATCGACATTCCTAAAGCCGTCGACACATGCATATTACATGCATGCATTGATTTTAGTGTCATGTCTTTATCAAAATTTATTCAGTAGTTGGGTTAATCTCACATCAAACGAACACGTGAGACTTTGACTTTGCTACTATATTCTAGTAGTCGTTAATTATTTCGAGTGACTAGTGTTGTGGGAATAAATGTCTTTCTGTATATTATTTTTCTCACAACTGCAGTACAGAAAATTCATAGTGATAAGAAGCACATAATACCAATATGAACACTTATTCTTGCTTTATAAGAAAAGGCACTTCACCCCCGTCCTCTTTTTTTTTTTCTTTCTTCGTCTTTTACGCTAATAGCAGTATTATTGCTATTCTCTTAGGTTCATGAACGCCAAGAAACCGGAGAAGTTGATGTCCTGACTAAAGGTACGCTTTTGCATTATTTTAAATATATATAGTTACAGAGTTTGTTACTCTTATATTAGACGTATGATCAACGTCATATAATTTGTTAAAAATGAGAGAATTCAAAATCGTAAATTTGAGGTTCATTTGAAGCGAATTTGGTGTTGATTTTATGTTTATCTGCCCGTTAATTTAATCAGGAGATAACAATTTTGGGGACGACAGACTTCTGTACGCACAAGGTCAACTTTGGCTGCACAGACATCACATTATGGGACGAGCTGTTGGGTAAGTCCTGTTGAAATTATTCCCGTGATATTTCCATTATAAGTTTCATTCATTTATTTGGAGTTCTTATGATAAATATAACGATATCTGATTTCTCCGATATATGGTCAAGAATCGAATGTGGAAACCATAATAGTTTTATGATTTGTTTTTATTAGTTCAGGTCTAGGATTTTCTCAGAATTTTCGATTACTTTAGGACTTAGTATACTTTATGACAAGTCACTTGTTAAAGTCCTTTTTTAGGTTAGAGTTTTTGGGTCGGGTTTATATTGGGCTACACTATGGCTGGGTTGGTTCTTGGTTGTGTTTGGGGTTCACTTGAACAACCCGAAAGCAAATATTTCACGAGCCAACTTTAGCACACAAAATCTGTCACAACCCTCTTAAAAATTTACATAAGTACTTTCAACCTTGGCAAATTTCTTTAGTGTAAATTGTTTGAAGAGTAAATTCATCCTTGTTTAAAGATTATCGAGTCTCACAATTCAAATCGTTTCGTTCTATGAGATTGCTTTATGTTCTAGAAAATCTACTTTTAGTGTAGATTAAATCGCTCTCGTTATTGCAATTGTTTATTTATCTTTCTCCAATTTTTTATTTTTTATTTACTAATAAACGTACATTTTTCTACGGTTGTTTGCAGATTCCTGCCTTATGTTGGTTGGGTGACGATAATCATGACCGAAAAGCCTATAATCAAGTATATACTAATAGGTGCTTTGGGATTGCTAGTGATTACTTCAAAAGAATGACAGACTTTGAAATTTCTGGAGATTGCTCATGTCACTTTATACACTGCCAGATTTGAATCCCTGATTTTGTAGACTGAATTTATTGACTGAAAATCATGTTATGTTCTTGAAATATTAACTCCCGACGCATGTTCACAGTTCTTTTGCGGGGCTGTATATCGTTATGGTTTTGGCAAACTTCAAATCGTATCAGCGAAACTGAACAAAGTATAGCAAAAGATTCATCAGATTGCCCAAAATATTATTATTTCATGTAAATACGAACAGTTCAAAATTATACATAAATCCCAGTGGCAAAAGATTGACATAACCAAACATGACGCAATCAATATAAGTAGTGTAGATGATTGTAACAAAATATATTCGAGTAGTTTACTGCACATTCAGCATTTCGAAACTCTGTGATGAAATTCTCTACATATTTCATCTCGATCGATCTTTCTAGACACCACAAACTTGTGATATTCGGGATCGACTCTTGACCGAGAAAAGCCTTAAAGTAGAGGATATCTAGTTAATCTGCAAAGCAAACAATGAACAATTATTACATAGGTTAATATACATCAATAAAAGGTATTATTTGCATTCATATAGAATAGAGGGTGTTTGGCTAAACTTATAAGATGTTAAAAGGAGCTTATAAGATGTTTTAGAACTTATAAGCTCTTCCAAAGTGCTTGGTAAGTTTTTAAAAAAGATCTTAATTTTTTTTTAAATAAACCGTTGGAGAGCAAATAAAATATTTTTAAAAATTTAACTCTACCGCACCTTTTATTTAAGATCTTATAATGAGTGAAAATAGGAAACATTTTCATCATCCAAACACTCTAAAAATTAATCCTTAAAATAAGATGTAACAGCTTATCTTATCAGACGTACGAGCTTATCAGCTGCTTAAAATAAGCTTAGCCAAACACAGTCTCAAATTGCACTAGAAATGCACAACTTAAAACTTCATCACATAGATAACCCTTTTGGTTTTATTACCAAACCAAACTTTCTATCTTTGATTTTTAAGATCAAAACAACCCCCAACGGCACGGCACGGCACACCCCACAACAAAAGACCAAAATAAAAAAGTAAAACGATTTTTTTAGCTCTAGGCATGAGAAAAGAGAGAATAAAATTACAAACAATACAAAACAAAATGAAGTAAAATAATGAAATGAGAAAAAAGAAAGAATAAAACGAGACAAATATCAGGCATATATTTATATACAACATTTTTCTTTTTCGTTTTCATTTCACTACTAGTTATTATGTCTATCATAAGTAGGGTTTTAGTCACTACCCAGTAATGAATTACTTAAGTTTCTAGCATGTTAAAAACTTATTCATCAGTACAAGAAATATTTCAATTCTACGATATATTAATTTGAATATTTTCTTAATGCATCAGTCAAAAATAAAATATTTGATCTTGCAAGTTAAACCATATTACGCAAGTAATATGTTAAAATTGTAACATAAGTGCATTAAAGATTGTGAGAAAACAAAAAGAAAAACAATTTCTCAAATTTACTCTTAGAAAAATTCCGTTCAATGGCCTTAGAGCAATGGAACATCGAGACTACAACTCCGTTTTTTCAGTTTCCACACCACTTCAAGAAAATCAATAAACTCCGATGAGGCAATAACACAAAACTATACCTACAAAACACGTCCTTAAAATAATAAAAAAAAACTCATCCAGCCACAGGACAAGCAAGAATTGACTACTATGTCGAAAACGACTATCATCAGCCAATCAAAACTCAACTATAATTTATCTTCTCGAGTAATAAAAGCCTCACAGAGTAGCAGATTAAGTGCTGAAAATGACAATAATTTGTTCACGACTTCATTCAATACATCAAAATTACTCATTTCGTAACGACTATATATCCAACACTGGTTCTTGAAAAATCTTAACTGATGAAAGAATATTTGCAACATCTACAATTTTAACACACAAACAACCCGAATCAAAGGAAAAACTTCATGGTTATTCCCAAGCAATATTTGCCACATCTAAAACCTCAATACACAAACAAACATAATCAATCAACAAATTAACTTAGACGCAAAAAAGCTAACATGGAAAAAAAGCAGTTCGAACCTTGGATTAAAATCACTGAGCCACAGCCTCGAAGCGCTTCAACGCATCACAATTCGGCGTTTCCCTTCTGTACCCCCAGTGAAGCTGCTGCCACTCGAGCCTGCAATTATGCGTAAGTATCGAGTGATAGTCATCCTCAACTTTCTGTTCGATCGCAATCCGCTCCTGTGTGTTAGGCGGATATTGCTGCTCAAACTTTGCCGATTTGACGAAATAATTCACACCCTTCTGCGTAGTGAACCTAACATCATGCGAGTAAGACCGGTTGAGAGAATAAACAGGCTCCGACGAAGGCAAGAAATTAACCAACAAGATCAGTATCACAGGCAACAACTGGATCAAAGTCCTCAGTCTACTGTGAGAGCCATGATCAACCCCACCACCACCACCACCGGTTCTCACTCTCACACCGGGCCCAAAATTAAACCCACCGCCGAAATTAGCGGCGGGATTCATCCCACCGAAAAAGAAATTCCTGAAAATTTCGTCGGCATCAACATCTCCGCCATCGTAAAACCCGTTAAACCCTCTCATTCCATTAGCGCCGGCACCACCACCACCACCTCGCCGCTGGTAAACGGGCTCGTCTTCGGTGCCGAGAACATCGTACTTTCTCCGACTCTCCTCGTTCGTCAAGCACTGGAACGCCTTCGAGACCATCTTGAACGCCTCCTCCGCCCCCGGAGCCTGGTTCTTGTCGGGATGGACCTTCAACGACAATTTCCGATAAGCCTTGCGCACATCTTCGGAACTGCAACTCTTCTCCAACCCCAATATCTCGTAATAGTCTTTCTTCCTCTTAATCTCTCTGACCACAGTGACCTGCTCCTCGGTGTAGACAGCCGATGTAGTCGAGGAGGACGGCGGCGCAGCCGCCGGAACCCTACGGCGGGGGCCGGTTCGGGGGGAATTGGAGGAATTGTCGGCGGTGGGACCGTCGGGGTTGTTAATTCCCGGTTCCGGAGAGTTGAGATTCGACATCAAATCGCCGATTTCGATCGACGGGTCCAATCGGAGAGCTTTGTTTAGGAATTTTAGGGCACGGCTTTTATCGCCCGATTCGATTGAATTCTTGGCGATTGTCAGACACTTCAAAGCTTCGTCTTTGTTCCCATCCATCTTCCGATAATCTGCTTATATATATATGTAAATTGTATGATCGATCAGTCGAGAAAATTGGGGGTTTACACAGAGGAAAGACGAAGAAGGGAAGCTGCAACTGAAACTGAATTAGATTCAATTGAGGAAATTCCGGCAATGAAATTGGGGAAGGGGGGGTTTTGTTATGCTGTGCGGGGGAGATCGATTTGGCTGTAGAACGGGTCGGGTCTTTGCGAAAAGCAATTTGGACTCTAATTTCACAATGGGTTTAGGTAGGTAGGTAGGTAGGTACCTCATTTTACTTTGGGTAATGATATACGCAGGCCAAATTATTCAGGCACTTTTTTACCATGATTTTTTACCTTTTTACCATAACTATTTACCTTTTGTACTATTCCTATCCAATAAAAATAAAAAAATAAAAAAAAAATAAATAAATAAATTGTTGTGCTCGTGCAAAAACATGCGAGCATTTCAACAGTGCTCATCTGATTTCACACGAGCACTGTTGAAATGCTCGCATGTTTTTGCACGAGCACCTATTAAATCAAAAAAAAAATAAAAATTAATTGGCCCGTGTAAAAAACAAGAGGGGTTGAAAAGCGCTCGGGGGAAATCACACAAGCACTTTGCAACCGCTCGGGGGTTTTTACACGAGCAATTAAAAAAAAAAAAACAAATAATAAAAATGCCTGCTCGTGTGGATTTACACGAGCACAGTGGATGCGCTCGTGTAAATTCACACGAGCAAGCCAACGTGTGATTTTTTTCGTTTTTTTTTCCGGATTCGTAATCTACATAACAAGAGGATCGTAAAAACGTAAAAATTACCTCCGATCTGTTGACGATTTGCACGGGCTTTGCGAAAGAAAATCGAAAGTTTGAGAGAGTTTTGAGTTTTTTTACTTTTTGTTTTTTGAAGAATGGTAAAAAATGTGCCTGAATGTTTAATTTTGGCCTGCACAAATCATTTCAGTTTTACTTTGCATCTTAAACTAGTTTTTGGCTAAATTACGCCGGAACGAGTAAAAGATCAAATTACGAAAGAAAAAAAATCATCTTGTTTGGATAATTACAATATTTTTTAATTATGTGTTGTCTTATAAAAAATCTTGATGGATATTTGATTTTTGAGTCAAATATATCTTATATCTTGGGTTGTCCGAGAGAGTCGTACTCTCGAACCGTAATCAACCAATAAAAATGTGCCACATAGGATTAGTTAGTACACAGTAAAAAATGTACAATACATACCCTATAAGTAAAATTACATAATAACCCCTAAAATTAAAACTTAATTGTAAACTAATAATAATTAATAACTAAAAATAATTACAGGCAACAATGATCATAAAATAACTAATGTTTCTGTGTTTCAACATTTCTTCTTTTTATCTAGTTGCATCCCCTACTGCACAGAGAACTCGTCATTTGAAGTAGCACATTTTACTTCTTAATTTCAATAGTTTTAATATATAGAAGTCCGGTTATGATATAATTCAGTAAACAGTAAGAACGAATTTTCTGGTGAAAACAGCGATCAATTTATTTAGCCACATAACTCTTCAACTCCATTTTTTCACTTTAGTACGAATCTAAGTATGATTGTTATTGTGTGGTGTCGAATATGAGTAATCAAATTCGAAGTTGTTGTTTTGTTTTCTACGAATGAGCTTAGGAGTAAGATAACAACTAACTTTCCATTTATGAAAAATATACTCTTTCTTGCAGATATCTTTGATGATATCTCCTAATAATGTAGAAGTAGTAAAGATAAATGTGGTTTTCTCCCACAAGAGCTTGTGAGAAAATATTACATGGCTGGCACAACTGGTGATTGTTTCTCCCATGATGAACATGCAATCATTGGTTGCCAAGGGAATATATATGTGCTCAACAAGAGATTGAAAGTAAGATTAAAAAACACAATCAAGCAACACCAAGACGATCGTTGCATAGATATCGAAGAGATGAGGTTGTACAGTTCTTAAGTATGGAGTAGTACTCAAGGGATGTAATAAATTATCTGGTTACATAAATTGAATGTCATGATGTTAGATTTATGTTAACCACTTGTATTTAACAAATTTATAAGTTAGTAGATTTGCTATGCAAAAGACCATTGAATTATTTTACGTATGCTAATATTGAAATTAATTAGCTTATTTTAGAGCACATTTAATTTAATTTTTTCCCATATATCTGGTTTGTCCTATTTCGCGCCTGGTTGTATTAATCATGTACTAAATTGAGTGCTCACTTGTTCGAAACGAGGGCAAGAACATGAAACGTTTTATTCAATTTGTTTCTTTTTTAAAATCTATCTAATTAAATGAATTTATTGCATTGCGTAAGATGCTAATTCATTAAGAAAAAAGAGAGAGAGAGATACTAATTGATTTAGTAATTGCTTAATGTTGTTGTATAAGCTTAAGTCAGACTTAAACTTTCAAAGAAGAGAACTTATTGTTCTTTCTTCTATTATTCAGTAAATTTATGTAGTATTTGTGCATTTTTTAGTATTGTTGCTCTCTTCCTTATTCAAAGAAGTTTAGTCTTGGTTGTTGATAAAGTTAAAAATATAAATGAATAAATTGGTGTTTGAAATTTGAATACACTCGTACAATAAAGTAGAGCTCTCTACCTCAGTTACTTCTCATGCTCTTCTGCCTCATCTTGTATAAAATCTTACTTGCGAAAACACACATACAATCGAGATAATAGGTGTTGCAATAAATCGTCGCAAAATGATACATTTTCATAACTATATTTCTTTGATTATTCAAAACACATACATGTCATAAGGTTTAAGTTGTTCAACAAACTTTAGTTATCAACAAAATGAGTGATGATCAAGATGATGATAAACACATGACTTTTATAATTTATTTAAACTTTGATTAATGAATTTTTATAATATTACATTGAGAGCAACGATTTTGTCAATCGGCCTAATGCCCAAGATATTCCAAAATATAAATAAAATGGCGTAGATATATATTCGAATCCGGAACGCAATCCTAATCCAAACCACATTTCTAAAATGTAACAAATGACATAATTAATCGGAATTCGGACCACATGAAGCATCAATGGTTGCAACCTCGAAATTCTCATTCCTCCTAATAAGAGCAGAATATTTAAAGGTAAAGTTTTAGTAAAAACAAGCTTCTTCATTTTCGACAACTCGAAATCAAGGGTTGTCATCATCCATGGGTGCCGAGCAAGATGGACTTTGTTGGTGCCTCACCATCACAACTTTCTAAAAGTTCCATTCTTCACTGCAGAAATTAAATTCCACAATATTAATCATTGTACACGTACAAGTTTCATCAATGTTTAAGACAAATTAAACATATTTTTCTCTGAAATTTATTTGAAATGAGAAGTCGAGATAATTAGTCAACACTCGGTCTATACCATCTACTAGGAACCAGAGATCATCGCCTATCCGAAAAAGGATGTCAAAGTCAGTTTGTATACCCACTCTGTTTATATAATACTGGTTAGAAGCTTAGAGATAACTAAATAAATACAACATCTTTCATCCATAGCTCGCTGGGCCACATCTCGAATCTGATGAAATGTGTTTTTCCCCCTTAAAAAATTGAAAGTTTACAGAATTTCAGTCGAAACAAATAAGAAAGACAAGTACATAGTGTTATGATTCCACTTGAAGAAACTTAGGCAACTCAGAAAAGCGTAAGATGAATAAATCATAAATAAACAAATAAGAAAGAAAGATTGAAAGATGATATAGAATAAAGCATAGCTCAGTCTTCTAAACCGATTCACACCAGAGATTCACAGAGATCTCAAGGCTTACACATACGCAGACTAAGATTGCACCAACAGAGAACAGATCTCTCACACCCTCACTCCCTCCCTAACCCTAACACACTCAGATCAGAGGTAAGACCAAGAAAACGAGGCACTCAGCAACTCACCCACTCACCACAGAGCCAACTCACAGAAGAGATGGATCAGGTTTTGAATATTAGGATTTTTCTCTAGGTCTTACCTTCTGCCACTTCAATCCCCACATTAAATAGGTGCTCCAGTCTAAGGTAACCGTTGAAGGGACCACCATTGGGACAAGCACAGCCAAGGATGGCGGCGTTTGGCCCATGGTTGCTGGAGCAAAAGGAGTAAAGAGCAGAAGGGGACAAAGGGGAAGAACAGAGGCTGTCTAGGGCACAAAACACGAAAGAGAGAGTACAAGGGGAGAGGGAGAGTCAGAAAGAGTCAATGGCTAGGATGAGTTGGATGAATCCAACGGCTCAGGTTCATCCTTCAGTGGCTTCCCACAATTGGGCTTAAGTATCTGATGGGTCATTCTCTAGTAATGTGTGTGTAAAAGTAACATAGGGATTTGGGCTACTGGCCCAAACACATTGGGCCACAACCTTAACACATAGAGTGGCAAACGATCATATTTCAGTTTTATGGAAATGGAAATTCAAGGACATAATACCGAACATTGCTGAGAGTACATGTTTTATGTGTTAGAAAAATTGAAAGGAATTTTTTTATACACAAGATAAGAGATATTTACACAAGAAGTGCAAAAAAAGAGGATTGATCACAAAATTGAAAGGAATTTTTTTTTTTTTTTGAAATATCACTCACCATATTTCCCGACAAATTTTTTGGTTGTCATGGCTATCAAAAAAGATCGAGAGGGGCAACGAAAACACGAAGCAACGCGAAGAAATCCTAGATTCAGCTTAATCTGATGACATGTTCTATGGCGAGGCTGAAGAAGGTTAATTAAGGATGAACATAGAATATCTTTAGATTTACATAAATTTAGATTTGATTTTGGTGAAAGAAGAACTTTGGATTTTATTTAACGTGTAATTTTATTGATTATGATTATTATAATGTTATTTTAATAGAGATCTTAATTAATTTGTTTTAATCATATTTTTAATTCATTGATTTGAGAATATATAAGGTTAATTCAGTAATTTATATGAAGTACAATGTGTGTACGGGGGTGTACGGTGTGTTTTTACTGGGTTCGTACTTTAATTTTTAAATTTCTAGTGTTGTACTAGGTCGTACTAGGGTCGTACACAAAATCAATGGATGAGATTAAAATTTAATTAATTTATAGGCACCAGATTAAATATTTTATGGTTCGAGAAGTACAACCCTCTCGGACCCTAGACAACCCCATATATCTTAATTGTTTTGACTTTCTTAATTTTCGAATTATTATCATTTTATTATTTATTATTCGGATTTAT